ATGCCGTAAAGGCTGGCTGCCACAAAAGCCTCCTTTCTTCCGTCCCCTTCAAACCCCCAGCTTCTGCTGCAGCAGCAGCAGCAGCAGCCGCTGCTGCTGCTGCTGCTGCTGCTGCTGGGTCTTCGCTCAACGGCATTCCTGCTGCGACTCGTGTGAGCATATCTGCTGCTGATATATGTTGCGTTGCTGCTGCTGCTGATGCACGGTGTGGTGCTGTTGCTGCTGCTTCTGCTGCTGTATTTTCTGCTGCTGTTGCTGCTGCTGTTGATGCTGCCGGCTGTGTTGCTGTTGCTGCTGCTGCTGCTGCTGCTGCTGCTGCTTCTGTTGCCGGTCGCGAAATCGCCGTATCTCTCGTTCTTGCTGCTGCTGTTGCTGTTATTGCTGTTGCTGCTGCTCCTGCTGCTGCCATTGCTGTTGTTACTGCTGTTGCTGCTGTTGCCGTTGTTGCTGTTATTTCTGTTTCTGCTGCTGCTGCTGCTGCTGCTGCTGCTGTATATGTTTGCTGCAGCGTGAAGGCCGCCTCTTCCCCTTCCTTCCATCTAAGCGGCAGCGAGCAACCCGCAGCAGCAGCTACAGCAGCAACAGCAGCAGCAGCAGCAGCAGTTACAGCAGCAGCTACAGCAGCAGCAGCTACAGCAGCAGCAGCTACAGCAGCAGCAGCTACAGCAGCAGCAGCAGCAGCAGCAGCAAGGATAAATGTTTCTTGTTTTCTATCCCCATAGACAGCTGGAGGAGACGCCCGCAGCGGCAGCCGTTGCTGCCAGCAGCAAAGACAATAGCAGATCGATGGAGAAGCAGCTACAGCAGCTACAGCAGCAGCAGCAGCAGCAGCAGCAGCAGCGGCGAGGGAACCACAGCTTCTCCTGCTGCTGCTGCTGCTGCTGCTGCTGCTGCTGCTGCTGCTGCTGCACACATAAGAAAAGACATGGAGGCCGTCGTCAGCATCCCCGTGGGCTTCGCCGGGCCAACCTCTGAGAGCCTCCCAAGTTAGCTTTGCTGCTGCTGCTGCTGCTGCTGTTGCTTCTGGTGATGGTGCTGCTGCTGCTGCTGCTGTTTCTTCTGGTGCTGCTGCTGCTGCTGCTGCTGCTGCTTCTGCTGTTTCTTCTGGTGCTGCTGCTGCTGCTTCTCGTGCTGCCGCAGCTACAGAATTCTGCGGTTGCTGTTGCTGCTGCTGATGCTTCGCCTGCTACTGCTGCTGCATCTGCTGCTGTTGCTGCTGCTGTTGTTCTTGTTCCTGTGGAGGTCTCTCTGCTGCTGCAGTAGTTTATGTAACAGCTGCTGCTGCTGCTGCTGCTGCTGTGGTTGCTGCAGTTGAAGTCGCTGTGTGCTGCCTGGACAGATCCCCAGGAGGGGGTGACCCTGAGCTTGTGAGGCAACCCCTGCTGCTGCTGCTGCTGTTGCTGCTGCTGTTGCTGCTGCTGCTGCTGTTGTTGCTGCTGCCTTTCCTGGCTGGAGTTGCGTTGCTGCTGCTGCTGCTGCTGTAAATGCCAGCGGCGGGCACAGCTGCTGCTTGCTGCTGCTGCATCGCAAGGGGCCAGTAGGTGTTTCCCGGTTTTCTGCTGCTGCTGCTGCTGCAACTGTTGCTGCTGCTGTTGCTGCTGCTGCTGCTGCTGTTGCTGCTGCAGGTGTTTCTCTCGCCAGTGCGGCGTGTGTGGGTGCGGCCTTCCAGCAGCGTTTAGCTGCTTGGGCTGTGCAGCAGCAGCAACGTCTTGCTGCTGCTGCAGCATCTCTTCTGAAGCGGCAGCAGCAGCTGTGCCTATGCTGCTGCTGCTGCTGCTGCTGCTGCCCCCCTCTCTCCGTTAATTTAGCTGCTGCCATGCAAGTTGCAGTAGATGCAGCAGCGTGAGTAGTAGCCGCAGCAAAAGCAGCAGCAGCAAAAGCAGCAGCAGCAACAGCAGCAGCAGCAACAGCAGCAGCAGCAACAGCAGCAGGCGCTTCAGTAGGCGTATTGCTGCGCTGCTGCTGCTCGTGCTGCTGCGGACGACAGCGGAGCATCCAGCTAGCTACCGCCATGCAGGCAGGTAGCTAGCTAGCCACACCACTCAGCTAGCTACCCCCGCCCCCCAGCAGCAGCAGCTGCTGCAACGGCAATCGCTGCAGCAGCAGCAGCAGCAGCAGCAGTTGCTGCAGCTAAACCCTAATATTTAAGGCTACGTTACTGACGACCTGAAAGAGATATAGAGGAAAAGCATCAGCTGCTGGCTAGCTGCTGAGCCGCTGGTGGCTAGCTGCAAAGGCGCTGCTGATGCTAGCTAGCTACTGAGGCGCTAGCTAGCTAGCTACGTAGCTAGCTAGCTAGCCAGCTAGCTAGCTACTGAGGCGCTAGCTCGCTAGCGACTGAGGAGCCGGCGGCTAGCTGCGGAGCCGCTAGCTAGCTGCTGAGCCTATCCTGGCTAGTCGCTATGGCTAGCTAGCTAGCTAGCTAGCTAGGTTGCTAGCTGGCTTGCTGCTGATGCCGTAGCTAGCCACTGGTGGCTAGCTGCTGCTCCGCTTGTGGCTAGCTGCAAAGGCGACGGTGGGTAGTTGATAAGGCTCTGGCGGCTAGCTGCTGAGGCTACA